GTGGCAAAGCCACATGATTTATATAATATCCTAATGAATAATTATTTATCGTCCACAATATGACGGATAACAAGTACGTATTGATTTTGCATATCATGTTATTTAAATACGCACTGTTGATTACTGTGCACGAGTTTGTACAGCATTCGAATTTAAAATTAAACATATTACATGTAATTTGAATCAATCCTATTGTTTTTGTTGTTTTTGGCATTTTTATTATTTCGATTATTTAATTTAATTTTTTTCTTTTAAGCCAATAACATACAGTTCATGTACTGTACAGTGTTTACAAAATTAATTTAAAAATGCAAAGATCCTTCGAGTATGATTATCTTGATTGCAACACATTCACATTTATCAAATCAAGAACAACTTTCCACAATATACAAATTCATTCGTAAATAAATAAATTCCATAATAAGATGTTTACGACTTCTGAGAATTTTTTTTTTTTTTTTATAGTCGTTAAGTTAAATATTCACGCAGCCATTAAGAAATGACTTGATACCAATGAATTTATTATTACTATTTCGAATGGAGTACAAATTAATTTATAATGCATACCATTGATTTTTCCGTCAATAAATTCATGTAATAATATGATACCGAAAAAATTATTGGTGTGCACAAAAATAATGGGGAGACAACAATGTAGCGTTACGTGATATTGCGTAACGCGACCGATCATCCCGATCCACGGAGACTATGAAGACGGTCACGTACACAATGGGGGGTTTTAAAACACAGAATATGGTATGAAATTAGAAACAAAGAATAATAGCAAGTAGAAAAAAGGCACAGTGGATGATACTCGTATGTAAGATATTTGACTTTATTTTACTTTAAGAAACTTAACAAAGATTGGATAGCTCAAGTTACATACTGTACGTCTCAATTAGTCTTTCTCATCATCTACTCATTATATATAGAAGGTTACGCGAAAATAACCCCTAAATAAAAGTATATGCAACTAATAAAAGGAATTTGAATTGCACAGAATGATCTATATTTGTTGCATTCATCCAGTTTTCAGCAAAAAGTTTCGTAACATACTATTTATAAAAATTCACATCGCTTTGCAGATTGGAGATTTCTTTGTTTCTGAGAATTTATGAAATTTCATATATGAATTGCATTTGTCAATGACTGGGTGCTACCTATGTGTAATCGGGGGTATTGTTATGGATTTGACTGATGTAACACAAAAACACGAATTGTAATATGGCCTATAGATTGGTCAGTGTTCCTTTGAAATCCGCACCAGAAATCTGCAAACTGTAAATCGAGAACTCCAGGTCAGAAAACATCACGAATGCATGCTAACTGGTTTTTAAAACATACATTTTTTTGCGGCATCAAAAAAAGTGATATCTTTTATATTCATAGCTACAGTATTTGGTATATACAGTACAAATTACAAACGATCAATTATGAAATTCTGTCGATCGGGCATTTTTAAAGTAAATGGGTAACTTGCAAAAAGCTTGCACGCACCATTTAAAAACAAAATAAAAAAAGAATTTCATAAAAATTACATAATAACAACAAAATGATGATGTTATATCATTTGATGTTTCCATGTTATTAAATGCAGTCCGTGCGCATGCGTTGATGTAATTCACGAAGCAAAACTTAAAAATTTTTGATGGCACAATTATTCATACAATCGACACTAACTGTGAAACCAATACTGTACCTGATATGGTGTCTCCGAACATGATACATCAAAAAACAATGTTCCCACAACAAAAAAACGGGTTTTAAAGCACCTAACAATGAATTGTCATCCAAATTCTTTGTACTTAGCATACAAAGTTGGGTAATTCTAGTAACACGATATTTAGTGATAATCCTCGTGAACGCTGTAATGTACAGTACATCGGTCATTACTACGAAGATTTAATCCGATTTGTCAGCATCCAGCATCATCAAACTATATTTGTGCCATGTATGCGTATTATATGTGGAAAGTTGACGTATATAACTTAAAGCGTATTCGCCAAAAAACAAAAAGAAAAAATCAATATGCCCACATCCAAAATTATTTACAACGAAAAAACAAATACGGCTTGGCAAAAAGCATTTTTATATTTGGATTACAGTACATATCCGGAGAGAAGTCAACGAGAAGAATACATTCGTCAGCAGTTTCTAAATGATTCGTCTTTGACTTATTCCGAAAAGAAAGGTCTACTCATTAGACTTCAACGACACTACGATACTATTAGAATTCAAAAATCAGACGAAAAAAGGCCATGCCGAGACTGTTACGGTTGGTGCCATGCCACACAGTACTGCGAACTGTGTATTAGAAATTATTTGGAAAACGATTTCAGAAATTGGTCTTCGGGAAATAAAGAAATCGACATGTTAATTCAGGAATGTCAGCAAAATGCTATTAGACCTAACTACATTATTGAATGGATTGAATACAACAAATTTCAGAACGTGACATATAAGGTGAAAGGTGGATGCTCTACGATATACACAGCCATATGGAAAACCGGTCGTTATTATAAATGGAACGGTGGAACGCAATCATTGGAAAGATATGGACGGCAAAAAGTGATACTAAAAAGATTGAAAAATTCGGCGAATAATCACGGAAACTGGTTTCAAGAGGTTTTAAGATATTCATTTAACCGATTGTCAACGTTACTGTATTTCATAATCTTACCATTTTGAAAACTTTCTAGGTTAAATCGCAATTTACTCTCGACAACACATCAAAATATTTGGCTACGTGCTATGGACTGACCAGAGATCCGAAAAGTAAAGATTATATGCTTGTCTTATATCCCTATGACAATGATTTAAGGCATTATTTGATGAAAAATTTTCAATCGATGAGCCTTGCTCAAAAGTATATGATCATCAAAAGATTAGCCAAGAGTCTGAGTAAAATTCACGAGAAAAATGCAGTGCATCGTGATTTGCATTCGGGTAATGTCTTACATTCGAAAATAAATGATAACTGGTACATCAGTGACATGGGATTCTGCGGGCCGGTTAACAAACCATCGAATAGTATCTATGGAAATCTTCGGTACATTGCACCTGAAGTTTTCTTGGGAAAACCGTACGACAAAAAGTCCGACATATATAGTTTGGGAATTTTAATATGGGAAATCACTACTGGTGAAATTCCGTTTAATGATATGGGACGCGACGATGATTTTGCTTGGTCAATCGTTTGCGGTATGCGCCCAAATATTTATGAAGATATTCCAACAGAATGTATTGAATTAATGAAAAAATGTTGGGACGATAATCCCCAAAATAGACCGGAAGCATCAACAATATGGCAGACGTTTCGTAGTTTGCACGAGAACTTATGTAAAGAAGAATTTCGGCAAAAAGGTTTCGAGCGCAAACCTTTAAAAAAAAGAACAATGGAATTCTTAAAGAACAAGATATTAAATAAACCGTCTTTGACTGAAATTAACATTGCGAGTCAATCAAAGAAAGAAAACAATCAAATCAGTAAACTTTATAGGATTTCCTACACGCCTAAACCAAGAAATTCAAGTTTAGGTATGGTGATTTTTAATAAAATATTGCATTTTAAGAATCGTTGGCTCATCAATTCTCATCAAATTTACACCTTACAGAAGGACGAGGTATAATAAATTGTCTCTTGTTTTTACGATAATGCCTGATGATTTTATGGCAATATACTGTATTTATTTATTTCTCACGTTCATCATTTCAACACATTAGACTCACAACAACACAAATTAGGTATTTATGAAGTTCATACTATATTTTTAATGTTTGCAATATCCCTTTAAAAATAACCTATTTTTGACATTAAATTAGTGATCGAGAGTTTTGACGGTTATGTATTAACCTATGAGAATATCGAAGGTAATACTATATTCAATTAAGTCATCGTGTCTTTGATGCGATGGGACCCCATTCATATTTTGTCCTGCATATAGATATCAATCAGATGTGGAATATTCAAACTCGATGAACCGACATTTTAAAAAGCTTGCATAGGTTTTTTTTTTTTTTTTTCTTATCTGAGCAACGTTTTTTCTTTCCGCATTCACTCATACTTTTACCCGGCACTTTATCAGAATAATAGGCCGAATATACAATACTATGTACGGTATAACAAAAAAACGTCAACACCGGGTCGAACTTGAAGAAAGATTCGACTTGGAGATTTGAATGTATCCCAACCATTTTTTCGATGTAAATAATTATTCAAGGACAATTATATTACTATGGTACTACCACACTTTCCAATTTGCGAAATTTTTCATCCCCTATTTTCAAACTTAATCTATTGAACACGTAAAGCAGTACGATTTACCATTCCCTGGTCAAAAATATTTTTTTGTTAAAATTTTATTAAATATTTCTAAAAAAGGATTGTTTTTCAATAGTCCATAAAAAATTAAAATTATTCTTAAATAATAAAAACAATAATTAATTAACAAGTTTGATTTTTAAATTTATTTGGTAAAATGATTTTATTAACACTGTATTTAAAAAATTTGATAGGATATTCATCGGCTTTTATTTGAATTTTACATATCGAAGGATAAACTTAATATACAGTACTTTGCTGGTATTGGTTCAGTACTTAAATTTATTATTAATTATACAAGTTATTTATGTTCAATATATTAAATTTATTATGATCTATGCATTTAACACCACCTTAATCTCATTTTTAATACTTTTCAAACTTGTTTTGTAAATATTTTATAAATTTAAATTTTGTTTTGTTCATAATAAAAAATTATTCTCGTTTTTTTTAATATTGATATATTACTATAAATTTTATATTGTTTAATTAAAAAAATATATATTTGTTGTTACTTATTTAAAAATGTTAACAAAATAAAAATAATTTGTTTGTTTATTTATATACTGTAGTTTTGATTATCAATATTGTTACAGATCAAGGAAATAAAAACAGTTATGATGATGTAATTCTTTGATCTTACAACACTTATGACAAAAGTAAAAAGCAGAAAAAAAACCATATATTTATAATTTTATTAATTAGAAACATGTGATAAGTATAGTAATTTTATTTAAATAAACTTTATTATTATTATTATTATTATTATTATTTTATACTTTTTAATTATTAAAAAAATAAAAGAATTAATTAATTAAAAAGAATTAATAAAAATAATAAAAATAATAAAAATAATAAAAATTGAAAATCAATTCTACTTAAGATAACCTTTATAATACCCAATTAGTATTTCACAAAATTTAAACTATATTATAAGTTATCATTTTATAACAATATAATTCTAAATTTTGATTTTAAAAAATTTATTTCAAGTTATAAAAATATATTTTATAATATAATTGTTAATTTTTTAAAAAATAATTTTTAAATAATTTTTTTATTTTTTTAAAATAAAATAATTTTTAATTTATTACTTTACAATAATAATAATATTATTATTTAATATAAACAAATATTAAATATAATACTTTACTAAAACAATACATTGATTCGATTAAATTATTCAGCAATTAAATTATAATTAATTAAATCTAAATCCATTAAATCAAGGTTTTATTATTATTGTATTTGATTTATATTATTAAGTATTTAAAAAATAGCAATAACTATTTCTACTATAAAATTATTATTTTCACCATATTTGAACAAATAGTTATATAAAAATTAAAATTTTAATTAAATAAAATTATATATTATTTCGATTCTATTTTTTATTATTAATGCTTATATAAAATTTTTAAAATTTAAATATAATTATTTAAAAATATATAAAACTTTAAGTAAACTATTTTTTTTAAAAAAATTTCAAATAAATTAAAAAAATATTTTTTATTAAATAAATTAATATGTTTTTATTATTTAATTTTAAATTATATAGTAATTGAATAATATTTATTCTAATATTATTAATCTAAATTAGAACATATTTTATAATTATATTTGGCTTTATAATATAAACTATATTTTTTATATTTTTAACTCAATTAATTCAAAATTAAATGATTTTTTTTTAATTAATAAGTAAATATTTTTTGTTTCAACTAAATGTTTTTTTATAAATTGTATTTATAAGTTCTTTATAATTATAATAGATTTTTGAAATATAATAAATATTTTATTCAAAATATTATTTTGTTATTAAGTTATTAAAAAATCAAATTATTAATTATCAATATTATAAAAGATTATATAATAATACTATTGAAAAAAAAAACTCTTTCCTGTACATGAAATTTTTTTATAATAATCTTTTAAAAATTAAAGAAAAAAATATTTCTTTTGTCTTTCAATGCCTATAAATTCTCTACATCTTTCTAGTCTTCACTACAAAAGCTTTAAAAAATCAAAAAAGCATATTGGTATATTGAAATAAGATTTCTGATCAGGAAAAAGCAAGTTTGGAGTCCTTGTTTTTTTCTTGAATTGTATAAGAAAAGACTTATAACAATTGTTTCTTTATAGTTTTTTCTTGAAACTTTTTTTATTTTCACTTCTTATTACTATACAAATACTTTTAAATATATTTGTTCTTTTGCCAAAAAAAATTTTTTTCAATATAAAACTTAAGACTTTACATTAAAAATATATATATTGTTAACTTGGGAAACCAGAAAAATATATAAAACATAACCTTTAATATCATTTAACATACTATATTATATCACAAAATAATAAAAAATCTTTTTCAAAAAAATTTTTATTAGAAAACCATAATTAGCTTACTTCTAATAACTGATTAATACTTTAGTTCTAATTAATCACATCTTATAAAATATCAAAACATGTCTATTATATTTATTAATAATTAATATAAACAACTTCAAAAATAAACCTGTATAATCATATAACTTTTATTATTATTAAAGATTAAAATAATAACAAAGCACTATTGTTATCAAATAATAACTATCAAGTTCAAACAATTATATAAAAACCTTTTAAATATCTTTATTTCTTTTAAATAGCAGTCTGAAAGTAACTTATATTAATAATAGCTTGAAAGTAATTTATATCAATCAACCTATATCTTATCCAATTAATTATTAAACAAATAATAACAAAATTATTAT